TAAACCAATTATTTTATCAAAAGAAAATACAAATAACTGCAGCTTAGATTTTTTAAAGATACATATACTTAAACGTTTTGCAGAAAAAGCCGCATTCATACAATAATTTCCCTCGCCATTAGGTACCAACACGCCACCATTTATCTGTCCGATGAAGTGAGGGGGGGGTGTGCGGTTTTCTATTAAGCGATGACAGATGGACACTCGTGCAAGTTTGGAAACAACCTTCAGCGAGGAGTTCAGCTGGATGCTCTTTTTAAGGACTTATCAACACTCGTCCATTAGACACAAACCACTGCTGCGTGTGGCTTTGTACCAAATATCTGAGTGAGGATGCAGTGCAGGGGGCTGACACATGTTTCATAAAAAAAAAAGGTTGCAGACAAGTCATATGACAAATGTGACACCAGTCCTGCTATTTGCTTTGGTGTTAGTAAAGAGAGGGCACACAGAGGATTAAAACACTGATATATGATCGTTCATATTAGAGTTAAACAATTTTCTGCTTTATAGTCTTTGTTTGGAACATCCATTGCAGCTATGCAGAGTTTAAAAGTTGCTGACAAGTCCCAAGTTAGCTGCAAACATCTATGCGGTGTTTTCTGCTGATTTCAGTTTGCAAAAAGTTGCATCAAACACAACTTTTCTCTGTGCTCTGTGAGCGCACACGTGCATCTGCTGTACATTTCAGTTCCCATTTCACCTATTTGTGTCGAGTTCAGACATTATTCTTCCCACAAAGCTCTCTTGCTTTTCACCACTTGATCTTCTGCAGAGGCCTGACCTTTACTAAGTGCTCTTAGTTGCCCTTTCAGTTGATTTTTTTCAGACCTTCACACACAGTAACTTTCACAGAGTATTCAGCACTACATGTTGCCATGTTATCAAACCAAAAAAAATCTGATTTTGGACTCAATTTCTAATGGAAAATACAGAACAAGTGTGATCAGTCTTTAATTTTCATCAAAAATCAAACATTTCACTTTGACAATAAACTGTTGTCAACCACAAACATTAAATATCATGTTACACCCCCCACTCTGACCTTACCTCAGCCGGGCCATAACCCCCTGACATGGCAAGAATTGAAATCAGCTCTGGTCATCTGTTGTTGTCATTAATCCCACAAAATTTGAACACCGATCGTCAAGCAGCGCAAACAAAAAAAGTTCTCATCTTGTGAGGCTTTTGGCTGCAGTTAAAGGTTTAATTTCTATCGCAGGTGGAAACACCAATTAATGATTAATTGAAAGAGGTGGAAAATAATAAACAGCAAACACCTGGAGCAGGAAAATATGGCCTGATCATTATCAATCAAAGACTGAGTGAGCTACGAGCAATTAGATTTAATGGTCTTGTGGTGCTGAAGATGTTTGACATTTTATTTTGAAATTATTACATGCAAACAAATTGAGTGATAACAGCTGTAACTGTCAAACAGTCTCTGACGTAAAACTGATTGATGTCCGTCTAAATAAAGCGGTGAACACAACAGGAATTTGTCCGTTTTATTTATCTTTTACATCTAAAATCATCCGTTTTTTTATTATTATTATTTTAAGTCAGAATAACCCTTTGTTTAACCTCCCCCTTGCATTTCAGTAATTTTGCACATCACCCTGCATACTGATCGACTGCCACGTGCCGTATTACCTGCTTAGATCTCACCTTTCTGCTCTTCGTACTTAATACTCTGTCTGAAACAGTTTCCAGCCCACTGGTGTGCATTTAATATTCTTACAGAGGTGCTTTCACGTGGTTTTCCCTTTAGCAGTAGCACAGAGGTCACAGCTGCTTCTGAAAGTGATGTGACCCTGTTATATCATCTGTTCTCACCTGAACTGTGATATTGAGGGATATCAGAGCTAGAGACGTAAAATCGAAAAAGTGAGATATACTTACAGGAGCAGCTGCTGCCCACAGGTCCTACTATGAAATTTTCAAGTTCGACTTTAAAACTTCCCTCAGCTTATTGCCCTTCGCATCTTCTATCGAGGTATCATTACGTTTTTCTTGGATAGTTTGGTAATGCTACCGCTTCACGCCGAGTTCTGCCCAACACAAAGCCTTCTGCTGTTTCTGTTTGCTCTCTAGCCGTCTTTGTCATGAGTCAGAGTCTTTCACACACTCCTCTGAACACGTTGGGTAGCCCACTAAAGTCTAACACTTACTGCATGTTCATACAAACACATAAAAACAGTCAGCCTCCAGATCTTTCTTGGCTCCCATCAGCAGTCGAGTTGCGTTTCCACCTGCTCCCTGCTGTTGCAGCTGGTAAAAAAAACGCTCCATGCCAGGCGCACGGTTATGATGATACCTTACATACAACGTGTAGTTTGCCAAATTTCTCTTTTAATCACTCTCTTTCTGTTGTGATGTGTAATTAGAAATGAATGCACTGCAGAGCAGCAGAACATATCGGGGCATGATTGAAGCGTTGTACTCGACTAATGTGTATTTCCTCCTCTCTCTCTTTTTTAGATAACTACTGTACACTGGATGCAAGAACTCAGAAGAGACGTTAGGCCTTAAGCTAGGTCAATGAACACATTTCTATAAATCACTGCACTTCCTTTGAACGTTTTAATGCAGGGGTTAAGGGTTTGGCTTGATGACAAAGCCACAGTTTCACTCTGTCCTGGACAGGCTAAGAGTCAGAGAGGCTTCTAATGTAAGGAATGGAAAATATCTACACATGCACACACTAGCATTACATTCACAGAGTGCACAGCCACCCTGGACTCCAGTGATGGATGGATGAATGGATGGATGAATGGACTAATGATGGATGTGCTTCCATTATAGAATTCAAACTAAGCAACAGTGTGCCAAAACAATTATAGAGCAGAAAACGTGAGCAGTTAAAAATGTGGATAACACTGCTCGCATTCTGAACACATGAGCCAGCTTTACAGGAAAATTATGATTACAGTTTTTACAGATTGTACATGTTTTTTTTTCTTTCCTAAAATGAGTTACATGCAAGCAAAGAAGTAAAATCTTGATTCCATTTCTTGTGAAAATATCCGCGCTCAGAACAACAGGCGCGAAGAGCAACTTGCATTCGTCGCCTCCTGTCTTTGAGAAATATACAGTCAAAGATTTTCAGGCTGCAGTCAAAGAGGAAAAAGGAACAGCAGCCAAAAAGAGAGTGGTCATGTAGAGGCTGATGTATCTGTTAAATACTGCTTAACTTCCACTGTGACATTAACAAGCACTTTTTGACATCTTAGTGTGGAGAGCGTTCAAGTTTTGCGGTGACCCCCCTAAACCTTAAACTCTTATTTAATGTGAACCACGGCGAGCGCAGAGCAAAGACTATCCTGTTTATATTGGCAGAAAATAAATGGTATGCGATAATTGAGGGCTCTTGTGAGGAAAAAAAACACTTAATTGCAAAGTCCCTGTTTGAAACTATTAGTGAAATGCCTCTGTTTGTCAAAGAATTGGTCATGGCTAAAGACCCAGGCTTCAGGAAGATGTGGAGCTTGAGAAATAATTTGGGTCTGCTACCAATTTAAAGCACCATATGTGTTAAGACACACACAACAACAGCAAATGAGTAGATTGGGCCTTTTTGCTGTATTTTAAAGGGACGCATGCAACAGGATGTAACACAAACATACGCACAAATCAGTCTGAATGTCTCTTTGAACTATAATAACCTTGAAATTCATCTGCTTTCAGCTTTGTTTTCCTCGGGGCCACCTTTGCTATGTACTCTGTCAACAACAACACTCTCGACGTGGGAAGGGTCTTTGAAATCTGTCAGCGATTATCTTCGGCCGGTCATCCTCGTTGCGAAATGGCGAGTCATTATCAGACTCATCAGATAAGCAGATGTCGACAAGCTGCTCTATAAGTGAGAAGACCTCTCTCCATTGAACAGTACATTAACACGCCATATGCATCGCTCATTTTAACACAACCTCCAAATGAGGCCTCGTTTCATTACAGCTGATGAATTTATTAAAAGAGAAACCCTCCATTTATGCCTTATAGCTAATCAGCTGCTCTGGCATCTAAATGTAAACAAAAGGGCTGTCATTGTTTTACCAAAATTAGTAACACAACAAGATGAAGTGCCTCATATTCTCACTGGCATGTTTTGAAACACACAAACTGAGACCAGTGCAGGCGAAACAACGTGTTGTTAATCATTTTTTACGCCTTAACTCACATCTGGGATCAGTCTTAATTTGAAATTGGGGAGAACAAAGAATTTGTTTTAGTGGGAAGTTTGAAGTTCATTGATTGTTAATAAATTATTTCTAGAAATTATAAACAGGTGTTGTTTCTTTTTGGACTGATTTGGAGAAAGGCACAATAAGAGTTAAATTTGAAACGCTTGACACCGGAAATGTATCGGTGCTTGGCTCCATTTCCGGAGTTTCAGACCCCAGTCTCCCCTCATTTTAGTCATAACCTTCTAAATGCCTTTAACGAGAACATTTACCCACCCAAACCGCACTGCACTTTTTTCCACCATGACGTCATAGGCCCACGTTTAAACGCCCCTGTCTGAATCCACGCGGCTGACACGACACTCGGTGGGCTCGTGTGCGTGCGCTCCGCTGAGGTGTAGTTCAGCAGTCGCACCCTGTCGCAAAGAGCTAATTGGAGTGGCCTCGTTTAGCAACACGTCAAAGGCGACGCGACAACACCGTGTCAGCGCCTCCACAAATCTCCTGCACGCTCCTGCAGCTAATAGCGTGTCAGAGAGCACAACTGATGCAACGTGGGGTCACCGTGAGCCGATGTTTTCCCCCGTAACGAACCTCTCAGAGCAGGACTGGAGAGAGGAGATGGATGTCCCAATCAGAGATGTGCGCAAATTAAAGGGATGTGAACTGTGAGGGCCCCGGTAAGAGGCTTAAAAAATAAATAAATGAAGAAAAAAGAAAATTAGACTGAAAAGAAATCTGAATAAATTATCATTTTATGTCTTCTTTTACAACTCAATAGTTTGACGTGTCATTTATAAAGAAAGATGGACTCAATTTTAGTAATAATAAGAGCTTGAATAATTTATTAAAACCGGTTGGAGTATAATTCAAAAACATGTTACAATTTTTTAAAATAGTTGGAGGAACTTAAAAACAATTAAAAATAATATCTGAATATATCATGTTAGTCCCTTTTTAATCATTTGGCTGTTTGTCCTGATCTTATTTTATGACGCCGAATTGTTTTGATAAAAATAAATCATGTTTCCAAACTTCAGAGGACCAAAAAATGAAGCTCTTGATTTGGTCCTCTGGGTGAGATTACAGGCTAAACTCTTCTCCTCAAAAATCAATATCTGTCGCACATGTGTATGCAAACTGAGACGTTCACTCAGGGTTAGGTTGCTGCACCATGCAGCAATGAAACAGCTTTATAGCTGCACATAGCTGGGGCTTCTTGGAGACGTTTAAACTTATCTGCAAGCCAAAAAAACGAAAGTGGCCTTGACTTGAATTTGACCTTTCTGCATTAGGACTCTTAAGCTCAGCAGATGGAGTCTGTGGGATGCCATTTCTTTCCGGGATATTTCATGACTTACACCCCTTAAAGTTGATCAAACTTAAAAATAGATCACATGCTTCTCCTTCTCTCTCACATTAGCCGGAAACCTAATAGTTAAACCCACTGCAAATGTTTAACTTATCGATTTAGTTCTCAGTGAGTGACGGCAGCTGGGCATGCAGATCAGAGTGCTGGCAGAGGCATGGGCACCTCATCCATCAAGGGGGGCGGGGTAGGGGGAGCAAGGATTAGAGTTTTCTCCGGTTTTGGACTCAAGCTACTCCGCGTGTCAGTGGCTGAAAGCTTTGGAAAAATAGTCCCTGGAGAAGTTGCGTTGATCTGCACGTACAAAACATTTAACAGAGCAGAGAGTTCACCGGGAAATGCCAAAGGGACCAACTTGGAGAAGGCATCCTCTTTCGCGTAAAAATTACAACCTTAAATATATGACAGTAAAACTTTGAGATGTGTAAATGGTTTGCAGACAGCTCCTTCTTTAAAATGATTAAAATAACAGTCTGGAATGAAAAGCTGGACCTCCACTCTGAGATATTTGATGCGCAGCTAAGCTGCACACTGTCTACCTTGGTAACACAAACGTCAGGCTCGCTTTACTGGCCACAAGTGCTGGTGATAAATATTCATGATGCTGGCGCCTGCGCTTTCCCGAGATCTGAGTGTTTGTCATTTCCAGACTGGAGCGTAAATACATTTAAAGTGGATGTTTTTTCCCCCTTGCACAGCTCCTATTTGATCCGGAGTCACCGTCAACTTCACCGCGTATAGCAGCCTGTCGTGGACTGCTCTCTTTACGAGCACTTTCTTTCCCCGTGAAGTAACAGAAACGGAAGCGTGGGGACGAAATTGAACAGCACCGTTGAGTCACATGCTTTACACTCAGTCTCTAGCTGTTTTATGTTGTTTTATTCTGCTTTTGCTTCGGTGGAAGAAGAAGCTTGAATGTTATTGTCTTAGCCTACTAAAGGTATGCGCAGAGAGATGATCTAGTTTATCTGTAAACAAAGCAAAAGTCAAATAAATTCAACAACGTATTTTTCCCGTCATTTTACTCCAAAAACAGCATCTTACTGTTTCCTCGAGAACAAACTAGCTTGAGGTGCATTTAGCTCCTATCTCTACATTTGTCAATCTGGCACCAGATTTGTTGGCCTATTCAAATGTGGCGCTTGTGTGCAATATCCCGCCAGCCCAGAAACCACATGAGATAGTTTTAACACAAGCACTTTAAACTATTTATATTTGCAGTTACATGTGAACATTTTTCTATAAAGCTGCAAAGTGACTTTCTCAAACGTGGCGTGGAGAGTTGCGTGTTTTTTTCTCTCTCTATCTCTCCACAGCAGACAGACAGCTAGTGTTAAATAGAGTCGAAAAAGTCATTTTATTACCATCCTTCATTTATCTCCACATTTAATAGTCCGTGAAAAGAAAATATGAATACATTTCAATACATTTCGACAAATCATCAAAGATGGCGGGAGTCGTGAATGTTTTGTTTTATTTTATTTTGGCTGGTAGCGCACACGCACGCGGGCACACGCATACACACACACACACACACACCTCCTTTGCTGTTGTATGTGTGTGTATATACGGTTAAAATTGTTGTGCTTTTTATGCTTCATTTTTTGTGTGCAGAATCGAAGCAGAGCCGCGGACTGGCACCGTGCACGCTGGCAGTGCTCACCGCGATCAGAGGCAGGCTGCTGATGTGATCTCTGCCTAATGGGCCGGTCAAGCAAGCAGGCAAGCTGCAGCCAGGAAACAATGAGGGGGCCACGCTGACTCCTCAGCTCTTGCCCCTCAAAGTCTATGAAATCCGACAAACGGCGGAAGAGGAAAATAAATTAGATTTGAAAATTAGATTCCCGGACAAATTAAGTAACAAACTATTCCCGGGTTTACACCGTGGAACAACCTCCGTGATTAATCGATTTAATTTGCACATTACTGGAGGGCAAAGTGTTGGATGTTAATTTTGGATAAACAGAAGATGCAGAAGAGGGGGGGAGTGGGTTTAAGTCTTATTGACTGTCAGGGAAGTTGTTGTGTGTTTAAAACGTAACCTTTAGCCACACACTCACACACTTGTAAAAGCACACACACACAGGGAAAGTTGGATTTTTCTTTTTTTTTTTGCACTTGAACAGACATTAATTTTTAAAAAGGGGACCGTGCAAGATGCATTAAATTCCACTAGGTTCTGCTGAAGTTTGCAGAAAAAGCTTCAATTTGTTGTACCTTTTTTTTTTGTAGAAAGAACCAATCAAACGAACACCAAGAAGCTCCAATGCATTGCGTTTGGTTATTTTTTTTTAATCCTTTAATATAGTACGAAATGTATCCAAACATTTTTTGTAAACTAAATTTTACATACGAGCGCATTTCTCCATAAATACCGATCATTTCTAACATGTTACCGGTTCCTTTACATGCGGATAAATATGGAAAATTGAGCTACTTTACATGTAATAATAATACTTCCTTTCAGACAAAGCAATTGACAGAGATTTTTTATATTTATCACGTACATAAACAGGTTGACACGGAATTTCAGGCTTCCACTACACGATTTATCGACATGACATTAAATAACAACAATGATACTGTGCTACTCAAACTGGACCTTGGACGAAAATGTTGCACTGAATAGGCTACAAAAGCACATTAATACTAAGAGTCGGTTAGGTCGACGTGTAGACTGTAGTAATACTGAATAATTCACATTTGGTTCACAACTATAACATTCTTTTCGATGAATCGCAATATTCTTAAAACCATCTCATTTTCCATATATCTAGGGACCACATTTTCACAAATTTCCCTTAAACTGTGATATTTACAAAATAAAATATTACATTTTCCCCAATGTTGGTGAAATCCTTATGTACAAAAAATTCATGGCCCGCAGATTGCATGCTGTTTGTGAGATTTTTTTGAGCAGTCTCTCGGTAAAAATAAGGAAATATCGAGGGAAAAAAGTTAAACTTCTCGTCCTTGCCTCCTTTTTTGTCCATGCATTCTCTCTCTTTCACAATAACACAGCCTTAAAAAATGATCGATCGGGCCTCTCCGGGTATCTTTCAGTCCATTTCAGTTCACAAGTCTTTTTCATCCCGGAGCAGTTTCTCTCTCTCTTTTTTTTATTTTGTAAAAAAAAAAAAAAAAAATCTGCATCAGTCTTTTTTCTTTTTCTTTTTCAAAAATATTTACACGTACCATTCATTGAAATTTGACGTCAGCGTGCTGTGGCTGCTCGTGTGGTGCACTGCTGAGGCTGCCGGTGATATGGAGCTGCTGCTCTGGTTCTCTGTGGACGGGGACACTATGGTGGGAGGTGTGGACGACTCGTACCCTGAGCTGGCCGCTGGAGACGGCTGAGGGCCCGGGTTTGTGGATTCGTGGACCTAGAGGAAATGGAAAATAATCAAATTTAAAAAAGGCATCCTGCTTATGTTGTTTGCATTTGTGCAGGAACGCAGCAAAAAGAAAATCATCTAGAACAATTAAAAGTCCTGATTTGACTGATAGGAACATCCATAACAAAGCAGACCCCAAACATTATTACTCTCATTAAGATCTTAATCTCATTTCTCGGTTGAAAGAAAAGAAAGAAAGGAAGTGTCAAGGCACATTAACTTGTGTTTCTGAATTTCAAGGAGAAGAAAAAAAAGCAGTTGTATTTCCCTCAAATTCGACATTTTTTAAATATCATTTCTATTTTAGGCAAAGCTGCAAAAACATTTTAAACACACTTCCATTACAAAAAAAATTCACATAAGAAATCTGAATATTAAAAACAAAAACAATCATAAAAATCATCTTTATTCTTTCTTTTTTTTTACCTTCATGTGTTTTCGCAGGGAGCTGGGGTGTGTGTAGGACTTGTCGCACATCTTGCACAGATAGGGCTTGTCCGACGTGTGCACGTGCATGTGTTTCTTGCGGTCGCTGCTGTTTGCAAATCGCCTGTCGCAGCCTTCAAACTCACACTTAAAAGGCTTCTCACCTAAGAGAAAGACACAATCATAAATAAATGCTTGAACAAAAATTATTTCATTCGACAAACATATTAAATCCTAGGCTTGTTTTGAGACTAAAACTTGCAGATCTCGACCACCATGCTTCAATATTTACATCAAAATCAGGGTAATTATTCTTGACTAAATTATAATTGTGAATTAATTGTAAATACATTTTAAAATCAATAATAAGTCTTCAAACACACACACACACACACACACTTGAAATATTCTCTGTTGACAACTGCTCTAAATGCCTGAGAAGAATCTCCAGCTGCCTTTCTAGATAATAGCCCGGATCGCATGCATGTTTTGGATGTGATAATGTCACGAGATCTGGCAGTAAATTTTCCCAGCCCGAGCTACTCTTACCAGTGTGAGTCCTTTTGTGAATTTTTAGATTTTCCGATCGAGCAAAGACTTTTCCACAGCCGGGGAACGGACACGGAAAAGGCTTCTCTCCGGTGTGTACTCTGATATGATTCACAAGTTTGTATTTGGCTTTGAACGGCTTCCCCTCTCGGGCGCAGTCCTCCCAGAAGCAGATGTGGTTGGTCTGTTCCGGTCCCCCCACATGCTCTACCGTCAGGTGGGTGACGAGCTCGTGCATGGTGCTAAAAGTTTTGTTGCACGACTTTTTGGGATTCGTCAGCTGCTCCGGCTCGATCCACTTGCAGATGAGCTCTTGTTTGATGGGTTGCCTCATGTATCGGAAAAAGGCCCCTGCTCCGTGGTGTGCTGCCATATTCATGTTCATGGGGCCGTAGCCGTGCAGCTGAGTGGAGGCGTAGTGGTCGGACCGCGGGCTCGTAACGTGGCCATACTGGTCGGCCCGTCCGTACATGTCCCCCGAGAAGCCCAGCCGCATCTGGCTGTTGACCACATTGGAAGACGCGTGGCTCGCCGCTTGCTCGTGGAGCCCCGGAAAGAGCAGGTGCCCCGCTGCATCTGAGTGTCCATGTGGCCCTGCGAAACTTCCGGAGGCGAACAAACTGTGCTGAGCCCCGGCAGCGTCCCCGAAACCCCGATTTCTGAAGAGAAAGTCCCTGGTGGAGTTGAACGCCGCCGTGGAGTAAGAGCCAACGTGGGTCGGGTGGTGGTGGTGTCCCAGGGCGGCCGCTGCGTAGCCAGGCGCCTGGGAGGAAAACGCCGTTTGTCCGGAGCCGATGTCGTGGGAGCTGTGGTTTATTTTGAAGGCGCCCATCCCATCCGCGAACGGGTTTATCCCCAACGCCACTTCTCTCTCTGTGACTTCGCCTGTTGAGTGATGCCGCGAGGAGCCGAAAGTAGTGACTCCTATGGTGGGATACTGCGGTCCTGCGTCCAAGAGCATCTTCAGTCTAGACTCGCTGAGACGACTGAGAGCAGAAATCAAAAAATCACGCACAGATATTCTTCCTCCCCCTCTCTCTCTCTGTCTCTTGGACCTCACTGGACTGAGCAAAACTCTCCAATCCACCGGTTTTCTGTTTACTTTCTAAGACGCGAGGAATCCCCCTATACCGCTCATCCGATGCGCGCGCGAAATCATGTATACATGCAATATTGTCTTTTGCGGTTTATCTTCCTGTGGCGCAACTTTCACCTCCTCAGTCAGGCGGTGAGCTCTAGACTGATAGTCGCAATCATTCCTGCAGATAAATGAATTGAAAAGACAACACAGTCCAGCCCTGATGAATGGGAGAGGAGGGGGACGGTCACGTGTCGCAGGGGCTCGGCGTCTATTGGAGGAGCCCCTTTCCCCCCAATAACATCAACTCACCAAATAACAATCCACGGTGCAGGGCCCACGCTTCTATTGGCCTCTTTGCATCATCAATCCCAGATATAGTGAGATTGCTGACTGTGGATTTGGTTAAAAGGCTGAATAACAGCAAAACAAAAAAAGTTGAGGAAGAGAAAACAAGAAGCGGGTCTCGTAGAGAGTCGAAGCACGTTTTGCAGCCACATACTGCAGTAATGGGAAGCAAATGTGTCAGATTGTCTTTGTTAGCCTGGGCACATAGTATCACTGTGAAGACATTTTTGTTGGTTCGATTGGCAACCTTATGTGTGATTAAAAAGTCAGACATGGTATCTTGTCTGTCTGTTTGATCTGTTTCCCACCCTAAAGTGCTGAAAGGCCATGTTTTCAAGATTAAAAAGACACTTTCAAAGGAAAAATTAATGTTGGGCAAAAATATATTACACAGGATTATAGCACAACAAACCTTTAAACACTCAAACGTGACCCCTCTTTATGCACGTCAGGTTAGTCTGAGGTGCAGGTAGAGCCAACTTTGACGTTTCTTTTCTCAGAGCCCCGTCACTGGAAACCCTCATGTTTGAAATAAACTCTGCAGAATGTCATCACTCCATTTTAAAGGTCTTTTTTATTAACTTATAAAGAAATCCACACAACATTTTGTTTTTGCACTCAGCGTGTTTTGCTGCTCTGCGTGTCTTCCTTGAACACAATGTTTCTGCCCACACCAGTGCAACATCTGTGCTTTAGATTTCCACATCATCATGCACACCAGCAGCAGTCCACGTTCACGAGGTTTACCTTTAATAAATAGGCCAGTTTCAAACTTGGATCCATCAGTACGCCTAATGTATTCATCAGGACTCTGCTCTGCTCGTGCTTCTCACTCATTTTTATTCTTTATTGTTTGCAGGTCAGTAGTGCATAGCCTTGTGTGCAAAACGTTGTGGGTTGTCGAAGTTATCAAGTGGGATTTGCGGCGCTCTCTGCAGGAACCTCCGGCTGCTAGAGTTCAAAGCCACATGCACAGACGTGCCATACAAACCATTAAAATATCTTCTTGGCTACCAGGCTAGTTTTCACACAAGGTTTTCTCCAAGTCAGTCTTATGAGACCAGGCTAAGAGGAGAAGTTTTTGGTGTTCTCAAGTTAGCAAGGGGAGTTTTGGATAGTTCGCCACTTTGCTTGGCAAAATGTGGAGGGATATTTCAACAGGTGGATGACGGTAAGAATGGCATATCATTAAAAAAATATCTGGGTTATAAAATTGGATTGGCAACATGTTAGAGGGGAATCTGGTGCCACAGAAAGTTCTTGGAATTGCACACGAGTACACTCAAAGTTTAGGTGCGTAAAAATGCCTCCAGCATAAAATTTAATGTGTAAATGTAAAAATGGGCTCTGATTAAAAACGCCGCTGGCTGTTCAGTGATGAATATGCTGAGGCCATAAATGTAGAATTTCAAACCGCTACAGGAACTTTTTAAAATTTATAGTGAGAGCCACTTAGCTAAAGCAGCTACAGCGGCATTTTTACGAGACTTCTCTACAATATTCTGCATTTTTCTTTTTGTTGTAGGATTTCACACAACTGCAACAGCTTTTCTCGGCTCACAGAGTGAGTGCATGCCCAACTTGGACCAGAAATAGCACTTCAAAAGTTTTGCATTACGCTGGTGCTGTGATGCCTCTGAAGGCTACAGCTGTGAGCCTCGTGAACCCCATGCGCAAAGGCCATTTAATAAACATCTTTCGGATCCGTCATGTCTCAAAATATTGACTCAATTTCTAACGCGCTGGATGTGACGCTGTCAGCAGAAGTTTTGACGAGTCAATTCACAGGAATAACCCAGGGGGACGCAGTTTTTGCATTATTTTTTTTTTCTCTCATAGAAACATGTGAAACTAAATGAATGAGTGTCACGCTGCTGCAAAATCTTTGTTCCTTATTAATACAGGAAACGATACATTCACTGCCACCCGAATTTCCAAAAGCGAAAGTTGGAAATCGAAGAAGCTTGAGATGAAGAAAAGCACTTCTGCTGATTTATGTTGTTGATTTTGAACCTTCACAAATTATTTTTTCATCACCACAGATATGTAATTACACACACTATCACGTTTCATATTTGACATGTAAGACATCAACACTGCTTGTGACCTCCTTAAGGTCACCTCACGTTAGGTTTTATTTTTATCCAAAAAGATTAAGCGTCCACTCCACACACCCTCCCCATAAAAATCTGAAGCGTTCGGTTACACAGATTTTGTTGCAATGCACAACCCGGAACTTTAGTTATTAAGTCAAAACTCTCTATGCGATAAATGTAAGTTATGAGATGTCAGAGGAAGAGAAAATTTGTTGAAATATACGGGAAAATTAGCTCAGTTTTCTTCTGCCTATTTTTGGTCAGAGACTTAAAGTTTCCATTGCGCTTTAGACTATAATAAATAAACAGTTACACATCAACATTACTCAAAATTTAATGAATATACACACAGAATTTCCTGAATAGTTCAAATCGTTATAGCGTCCAACTTCTTTAAATTATATCTAAACATTGAAAATAAAACATAAAATAGTGTACACAAAAAGTACTGACCTCTAACTTATATCTTTCTTTAAAACTCTGAATGCACTCACCAAGCATCTCACGCTCTAGGATTATATTGTAGTAACTGATACTTACAGTACACACACGTTTTATTTTGAACTTAAGTCTGCAACGGCACCACCTCCTGTGACCCTCGTCTGCTGCCGTCCCGGGTCTAAAGCAAAATTACCCCGGATCATAACAACAGGTCCCGTCCATTACACTTTTTTTTCCTCGGGACAATGGCCGCAGCTCGCGCTCTTCACACTTCTACACACACGGATCCCACCGAGCAGAGCACAGAGTCAGCGCCGGGGATGACACGGAGAGGCAAACGACTCGATATGTAAATACGTGTGTTTATAAAAGCGCATGTTAATGCTGCGCACCCGGGACTATTTTAAACTCCCACGTGGAGCTTTCTTTTTCTTGAGTAGACAAGTTTTTCCTCGTTGACGCCGATCTTTCACGTGCGTAAAGTGGTGCGTAAAGTTGTTTTTCATGCGTAGCAGGGCGTGATGAAGCAGTATCCCTGCATTATTTATGATCTTTACTTCTTCTATATTGACAATATGCATGCTCTTGCGGGGCAGTCTGTGTTGTAATTGCATGATCAACGTGTGGAAATGTGTGTTTCATAGCCGCGCAGCTTTTGTTCGCTGCGACAAAAGAGAGAGGACTGTATATCTGGATCAACTTTTTTGGACTTTTATCGTACAATAACCTTTGCATAACAACTATTTTTCTCAAGCGTTGCCCGAGGCACTGCGCAAGCGCGCTGGCTGCTCGCTGTCACTAAGACATTTTTCTTCACGTTGGAAACTGTCACTGGTGACGTCAATCACCGGGCTCTGACCAATTAGAGCGCAGGGTGATTGTTTAGCTCCACGGGCTGCAGCGCCTACCATGAATCTCTATTCAGTATCAAAGCGTCCTGCTGCTGCCTCTCAACCGAATGGGATTCCATGTAGTCTGCAGATAGACTTAACTTTATAAAGTCTTTTTTTTTCTTTATTTTTCATTGCGATTAAAATATATTTGTCATCATCATTATTATTTTGCCTGCTGTCAAGTTATTCTAAAATTAGGAAGTAATGAGCGTGGATGCACTGGGAAGCCCCGTGATGGACCCTACGTTTTCCAAACGGAACACGGCGCTGAGATTAGTTGACTTGGCAGGGGCTCACCACCATCACCATCATCACCACCATACCCCTCAGAGCGTGACAGGCTTCCCGGGGTTCAGCAGCCATCCACACTCAATGGCTCACTCGCACCCTGGGGAGATTACTGCGGAACCCCGCCTGGGGCCGAGTCCATTCGGGCCAGAACACATGGGGCACTCCGCGGCCCTCAAAATCAGCCCAGCCCATCATTATCCCCACCACCATCACCACCACCACAATCATCATATGGCAGGCCACAGTGAAGTGGTCTCCAGTCAAACGGGAGCTTTTGGCCCGGTTCAGGCGACATCCGTGCCCTATTCTATGTCTCACACGGCCCAGGCTCTATCGGCAGGTAGGGATTTCCTCATCCGGAGAGATCTGACAGCTCAAGCCATGCCAGTTCTGACTGACCAGACTGCTGGTTCAGCCTCTCACCACGGAATGTTTGTCTCAACAACAGGTAGCTATCCCGGACACTATGGTCACCACACTGACGCTGGGAACCATACCCTCTTCTCCGGACTCCATCACGACCAGCCTCCTAACGGATCACCGGGTGGCCAAGCGTTGAATGGACAAATAAGGTTAGGACTACCTGGAGAAATGTACGTTAGGTCTGATCACTTGAGTCAAGTGGCAAGCTCCAGGGCTGATCCGTTCTCCGCCTCGCCGTTGCATGGCTACGGTGGACTGAATCTGAACATGAATCTGAGCGCTCACCACCACGGAGCCGGTGCGTTTTTCCGCTACATGAGGCAGCCGATAAAGCAAGAGCTGATCTGCAAGTGGCTGGAGCCGGAGCACTCGCCGAAGAAACTTTGCTCCAAAACTTACAGCACCATGCACGAGCTCGTTACGCATGTGACGGTGGAGCACGTCGGAGGACCCGAGCAGGCGAACCATATCTGTTTTTGGGAAGAGTGTCCGAGGGAAGGCAAACCATTTAAAGCCAAGTACAAACTTGTAAATCACATTCGAGTGCACACCGGGGAGAAACCGTTTCCATGCCCGTTCCCTGGCTGTGGGAAAGTGTTTGCAAGATCTGAGAATCTTAAGATCCACAAAAGGACGCACACAGGTCAGTCAATAAATTTCTATATCTGGAAATGTAGCAGAAATGTGCTTTTGAGTGAAATATAAATTTATAATTCTGCAGCTTTAATTCCACTTAAAGCTTTTGCATGATGTCCAACAAAAGTCATGGAATAGTTTGCAAAATTTGCAGCTTATTTTTGAGAGCTTTTGTTTTACTTCACCTGTTTTTTTGCATCTAAAATCCCCTCAATCAGTCGGTGCTGTGCGCAGCAGCCACTGCATGGCCACCTGTTTGTTGTGAGTTGCAGCAGCACATTCGTAAGTTTTAGAAAAGGTCGAGCTTCAATGGGGATCATGGTACAGTTCAGTCAAGCGTTTGGCGGTTCGAGCTCTTGTTTTCAACACAGCACAAAAAAAACGAGGCCCTCGTCAGGTTATGCACGTTATCTTTTATTGAGCGAGGGAGAAACCGGTAGCAAAGTTGGAAAGATGCATGGCAGTCATGCTTTGGTTTTCTTGCATTTTGTCTCTTCCTGCTACTTGTTGCTATGGTTATCTGTCAGTGGACGTGTCTTCACTGGAATTAGTTATAATTTAAAAAGAAATAGAATAATTTGTTGCAATGTAACATCCAAAGCCACAGCAAAGCTACCTTGTTATTTTACACTTTTACTAAACAGCTTGTTTTTGTTATTTTACAGTAGATTAATACGACACATTTGTATTGCATTATTATATAGATGCATTTGCAGTGATTGGCCTCAAAGCAACAGGTTCACAAGTGCACACAGGCTAGAATAATTTACCAACAGGTTGGCAGGGCAGCCTCTCTCTGTATAATGACTGATGTGTGTACAATGCGCCTCTGATTTACCTTTAAAACATATAATGGCACAATATGGCTGCTAGCCTCTGTGGCCCAGTGACGTGGAGCTTTGCTGAGGAGGCAGGAGGAAAAAAAAGGGGGCCTCAAAATGTCGAGTCACACTTGTAAATGAACACAATGATTACGTTCCTTTAACTGTGGTGGCTTCATGGCACACTCCCCCCTCTGCTCCATTTCTGCGCCCTATGTATTATTCATATCATTTGCTCACATTACCTAAGTACAAATCTGTTAAATTATTTCTGTGTGTTGGCTCCCAAGGGGCCTGCTCTTTGGTATCATGTTTAAAACCTATCCGAAAGTGTGCTTATGACTGGGGCTGCCCCTGGGGTCTGTTCCTCGACGCTTTCTTGTACTACACTAATATCCCTGATTGGCTCTCTCAACCCAACAGCTGAAGGTCAAATTGATATTCAACCCGCAAGTGTAATTAGACAGAGGCAATTACGTATTCTCAAAAGCTTTAATCGGAGGAGAAAAATCAGCACTGGATGATTTCCGTGTAATTTATTCAGATTGTCTTTTTTTTTCTTTTTGCCTTGTCATAATCAGGTAGAAATACTTGTTATTGAGGCGCAGAGTGAGACGCGTTTTCAGGCTTCAGATAGCAGACAGGCTGCGTTAAGGCGCACAGTAGGTGCAGCCTGGCTACTTTCATTTATCATTATTTACAGTTGGTTTTAGGCCCTGCTATGTCTTTGCTCGCAGCTTGTCTGTTTTGACGTATGCCTTGATGCATGCAGACGCCAGGTATAGACTCAGGACAGTAGGGGTTCAGGCCTCCTGTTTACACCACACTGAGGCGCGTGGCAGGTCTGTCCAAACAGGCAAACTTTTGAGAGTGCAAGCAGAGGGGAAAGTGTGTATCCTGTCACCAACAAAAATAAAGACCTTCGGTGGGAAAAATATACTCAGTTAAATTTGGTTTAGCTGTAGCTTATGTATTTAGGATTGAAAATGTATTTTAGTCATAGAATAAACTCTTGGATATAGTTGACATAGCTATTTTGAAGGCTGCAAAGTGGGAGTAACAACTTTGACAATAGTTTTTGAAAATTGCAGAATTTTTTAAGCGTAATAAAAAAATCTGAACTTTTCAGGTTTTAAGGTTGCTTTTGATGCAAAGTAAACCCAGACAAACTCTTTAAAAAAATCAAAACAGTATCAAAATGGCATGTGCTGAGGGATAAAGGTCATATATTCTCTATGGAGCATTGTGTTGACTTCTGTTTTATTGTGTCATCATCCATGTTAACAGGTGAGAAGCCCTTCAAATGTGAGTTTGACGGCTGTGACAGACGCTTCGCCAACAGCAGCGACCGGAAAAAGCACTCCCACGTCCACACCAGCGATAAGCCCTACAACTGCAAAGTGCGAGGCTGCGATAAGTCCTACACACACCCCAGCTCCCTGAGGAAACACATGAAGGTGCACTGCAAGTCCCCCCCGCCCAGCTCAGGCTATGAGTCCTCCACCCCGTCCCTGGTCTCCCCCTCCTCAGACTTGGGCCGAGAGCCAGGGGCCTCCTCGGTGCTGTCGGAGCCGGTGGGAGCTTCTTCCCAGCCCGCCAATTTAAGTGAATGGTACGTGTGCCACAGCTCAGGTGCGAGCGGAGCTCAGACACCGCCCAGTGGGCCCTCCACACCAGACCCAGCGGACGAGCCACCCTACAGAAACCCAGAACCGAGGGACGCGTTTTAACCCACTCAGACTCGGTGCTAGTGGTGACAGAACACAATTTCATAAGCTTAACTATTAAAAATGGTTTGGCTTTGGTGCCTAAATATGCCTGTGAAGGCCCACTGGTCCCTCTTTTTTTGGATGAGCCAACGAACAGACACCCAGAGCCAAGAGACGCATTTTAAAACCACATTGGAGGGAAAATGTGTAAACCTTAAAGACGTGCTAATTTCCAAGCACAATAAAAAGAATATATTTTGAAACCTCAGCGATTAAAATGAAATGCTTGGCTCAGAGCCTATTACGGCCCACTGGTCCACTTGTGGGGAGAGTCATGTAAATCCGTCATAGACTATGTGGTTTATTGTAGGCTAGGCATGTTGGTGTAAAATTATTTTGTAAATTACGAGTTTTGACTTGATATGTTTTTATTTATTTTTCAATCTGATCTCGAAGGAATTTTTGTATTATCGAACCAAAGTGCATGTTTCAATTAGGGGTAAAGTGTACATTTGTAAATTTTGTAACTTTGGATGTGTTGTTGTTTTGTAAGGATCTGTCTCAGAGCGGTTTCTTACTGCAGTTCTTCATGTTTACAGCCTTTTTATTTCCCATTTGTGCAGAGGCTCAACAGCTAATCCGTTTCATAAGCCTGCAGTATTTGAAATACGGTCGTGAAATTATGATAAATGTTTTATCAAAGTGGGCATTTTGTGATTTTTGTATTATTGTCGTCAATATATATATTTTTCTTTTTGAATATCTGAAAACGAGCGGCATTCAAAATGCGTACCGAACTGCCTTGTAATTTGTGAGTATTTTGAATAAATCTTGTATGACTAAAGTCAAACTCTGCTGAGCATTTCAGATTCGTGGGAGCAATTTTCTTAACAGGAAAAAACTTTCACATTGATTTTTATTTTTTTTTAATTTCGTGGTAAAAAAAATTATCCAACTTATTCATAAAGACAACGTTTCTTCTTTCTCACAAAGCCTTTGAGCCACCGTCAGAACAAATCCACTTTCGTTATCTGTATCCAAGTTAAAAGTTCTGAAACATCCACTCAGATACTTTTTGAAACATTTCATTTTACCTTCTTTTTTTTTCTTTGGCTTCAAAGGAGGGCGGCTTGAATTAGGTAAAGTCTTACTTTCTAAGCGGAGCTTTGGTCTGATGTGCGCTGAGTTTGATGGAGGCCTACAATATTCTGATTCAGACTTCAAAGGGCATTTGGTACAAAGAGCCATTTTTTTCACGACGGTGAATCCTCATGGTGAATTAAGATTTCTATAGCAATAGCCAAGTCAAACTCAAATGATATGGGGCCAAGTCCGTGGACTCAAAAGCCCGCTCTAAAGAATGTAATATTTGCTTCCCATGGGGTCGGAAACGGTAATCTATGTCCTTTATGTTGCAGACGAGGGCAGTATAAAGAAGAAAAATATATTCTTTTGCTCTGGGCCTACTTTACGACAATCAAAGGAGAAGCCGCTCAAATGCAGTTGTCCCACAGCATAATAGACTTGCATTGCAAGAGAGCCGGGCTGCTCAATATACGCTTTTAGTCATAGTTTAGCCTCCAGACATGAGCTATGTAAAACTTTGATGATAACTTCACATGGTAGTAACAGACGTGTAAATTAATTACTTCAACTCTGAACGTTTACTCTGACTTTTTTTTTTTGTAAAATGAAGTAAAATTGCCAAACGAACTTTAAAATGACTGAAAGTAAGCAGCCAAAGAGCTCGGTCGTAGTTCTGGGAAACTCTATACTGCTGCGTAATTTTACCCCGGCCTTGACTGAGGGAGAAGTGGGTGGAAACAACATTGCTACAACTCCCTCTTTATGGAGTTTGTTTAAGGGCATGACAGTTAGGAGGCTCAGCTGAAAGAAAGGACCTAACCAAATAAAAGAATATCATGCCTCTTTTGGCACCAGCTCTTGGATAAAGAAAAGAGAGGGGGAGAAAAACAACAAGATAGTTGGATCTCAATTGAAAGAGGGGGCTTTTGAAGTGGAAGTTGATATCAGAGGGATTCTTCTAGGTCGTCTGAACGACGTTGATGATACGGAAAGCCTTTTGTCACCGATTTGTTGGGCTCTTCTCTTTTGGGCTCCTCTCTGTTGGGTCGTCTAAAGCTTTTAGTTCCAGTCGTCAAAACGGACAAGAACTAACTGAGTCGCGTAAAAACACTTTTTCTATTCAGCGGTGGAAGTGAAGGAGAGGCGGCACAGAGTTTTGTCTTCACTAGGTGAACGAAAAGCAACTCAGAGTTCACGTAGAAGACAGAAAAGTAAAGACATAAAATCACGCAGGAGTGCAGAGCTGTGCATGTCTGCTCTGCAATAGCTCACAGACCTGCAGTGATTTATGACTCTGACCCAATATAAACATCCTGAATGTCTTTAGCCAGAAATCAGACTGCTGGTGTGAGAAGGTGTAAGTGGATCCAAATAGCGTTAAGTGAATAGGAATGCTCGAGATAAAACATGGCAAATGTTAGGTTTATTGTGCAAGTTAAATTCCCAGCATGCAGACACTGGATATAGACTACAACACTTGGAAGTATACAGGCGAGGAGTCTTTAACAACTGATCCTGTTGGGTTCACTCATCGGGGCTTCCCACCTTCAGCTGAGTGACAACCTCTGATCTGATATCAGCTTCGGGGTCAACAATCAGTAACTGCTGTGCGTGAGCGCGCGCGCGTATGTGCACGAGTGTGTGTGTGTGTGTGTGAGGGAGAGGGGAAAGCCTCACAAATGCCAGATCTCTCCTTCTAGACTCTGCAAGGAAAAGGGATTACAGTGATCAAATCAAACTACGTTGTTATTTTGCAAAGTGATTCTGGTAGAAAGCTGCACGAGTAAGTGTTCCGAAGGGGTTTGAATTATTATGTTCACATATGGCTCACCGATGTGAAACACAATTCAGTCTTCCATCCCACTGTATCAGAGGAGTTATATTAGTAAAAATATGGTTAAAAATACCTGCATTTATATAGCCTCAGTTTAAAACGAGTTACAGTGCACTGTATGTGACACAGGTGTATGGTGCCAAGTAGGCCTAACGAAGAGTGCGCAATTACGCACAAATGAACACATTCCTGTTCATTTTTGTCAGACTTTAAAAATTAAAATAAGTGTAAAGTTTTGTTTTGAACTTCCAGAATGCACCAGGAAAAGAAACTGAATCCAAGTTCCTATTACTGCATCCTCGGGCTCATGTGAGTGTGAAATATCATTTCTTTGTAAAATAAAGGAGGCGGTAATCCTACTTCCGGAAACTGTCCGGCATTATTGAACAAAACCCTTTTAATAGGGGGATTAGCAGTCTAGGAGTAAAAAGCCTTTCACCCTCCCCACCCCACTCCCCCTTTCTTTTTTTCTTCCTCCACGCCCACCCCACGCTCCAACGCCACCATCAGCACCTCCAACACCAACCAGGTCATAATTATCAGGAATGAAGTGGCCGAAATTGGCATGGCAGATAAAGAGAAGGGAAGAGAGACAGGTGCAATAGACCCATCAGAATCGAGGGAGAAGTCTGGGAACACTAGAAAAAATGTACAATGATTTAACGGTAAAGTACTGTAAATAATATATTTTTCAATATTGTTAAATCTAAAAAACACCCTTATTATTCCTTTTACGATTTTAACAATTAACCCTTTTGAATATTTGGTTTACATTTTTCCCTCTTAAAGGAGCATTCCACTTGATTTCTTTGAGTATGATCGAGTGTGCAGAAGTGAGGTCAGATGGCAAACCCACATGTTAAATGCTGCAATAAAAGCCTGTCGTGAATGTTGAATATTTTATTTTGATAACTCCCAAGGATGTTTCCAAAGGGGATTTACAAGATCACGTGGTTTTGAGGCGTACGCTACCGCGAGCTTCCGTCTTGAAGATTTATGACTGCCTTTACAGCTAAATTAACTGTATTCCGCATATAAAAAGGTGTGCACGCAGAGTTTAGGCAGGTTTAGGGCTCCACCCCCGCGGTAGCTTTTGTGTAAAGCCGGGAAAACTCACATAAGTCACTATTCGGACAACCTGGAGGGAAAAATCTGGGCCAATACGAACATATAGACGACGCCCACTGCACAAGTTTTGGGATTACTGTCATGCACAGATTTCAGGAAACGCAGTTATTTCACTTTCTTATAGATGAGCGGACTCCCTCCAAAGCGAATCAGCCCCCTAGTAGCTTATGTATAGGCCCGAACACGGATCTCTAACAACCTCGACATTATATTGCAGATTGTGGCACATACTTCACACCTGCACTCTGAATAGCAGCTCTCTTTCAGTGTATGATACGCCTGTTGGTCTTGCTCTCAGTGCAGCTGCATGCATGAATCAGCGAACCGCTTCCTCGCCTCTCTCTTTGGATCCAAAGTCTTCCCTTATTTGATCTCACGCGCTCTTTGCTCGAGACTGTCATAGTTATAGCAGGGGCTGTGATGACTTCCTTTATCAATGAGTGGCTTCCCATATATACACGGGTACTTGTTGCTAAGAAAAACGCATATAGATCCAAATATTATGGGAGTTAATGCATGCGTCATGTGCGTAAAGAGGGGATTAAAATACGGGGAATTAAAAACGTGCAATTATTTTGGCAGGACTGCGATGTAAATAGTAATCTGATGGCGTCATATTTTTCTGTTCATTTCTGGAGAGCTGTATAAGGCCTGTTAGTAATCCTCTCAAGTGTTTGAAACAACGACAAAAAAGAAAACAGGACTATTTGAGAGCTTAAAAAACAAGTCATTAACCAAAATTTGGAAATAAGATACTGAAAGTCCTAAAAGTGGGCCATAAATCCTGCAGAATGAATCCCTCTGATTTTGAGGACTTGCCCTCTGGCAAACAAGCCTCCATCGCACAGAAATTCACCACCCCTTCATTGTTTTTATCTCCCCTTGACCTCTCTGTGGTCTGTGAAAGTACTATGTGAAACCAATATCCTGTAAAAGAAGAATCCAGGGAGAACAGGTGTGTTGGAGTCTCCTG